AGGTTTTGCATGTAGAAGACAGGTGGGATCAGCTACTTACCACAATGCTTTGCAACTGTGTTAGATTCTGGGGACTACACTGCCAGGAAAGCAGAGGAGTGTGTTCCACTTGTCCTTTTTCACATTTGCTTTTCCCAAGGTTCAGTGGTAGAACCATGGGCATGGCCTTCTTCAGCTCCATTCATTCATGGGTCTGAAGATACTTCCTGAATGCCAAGCAGACTCTGTACAAGTGCTGGGAGCAAACAGTGAGCTTTACCAGGCAGTGCTCCTCTCCCTGAGCAACACTCTAGACAGCAGAGTGGATGGCTTGCTTCAGAGTCAACTGTACATTCTAAAGGAGACTTCAACACTTTTGTTAAAGTTAGACAAGCAAAGAGTCAACACTGACAATTGCCCTAGGCAGAGAGCCTTCTTCAAAGTTCTGAATGGATTTAGTTCCCCCATCCCTCTTTTTATTTTTGCAGGCCTGGGGATTGAACCCATGACCTCACACATGCCAGGCATGTATCTCTATTACTGAGCTATGTGCCTATCCCATCAACTTTTATAGAGTAAGAAGGACTCTGGAACTCTGTGGATAGCTCTCAGGATAGGGCTAAGTGAGGGCAGGCCATAGGACAGGGATATTACAAGCACAGCTGCACCCTATAGGGTATGTGTACAGGTATCTATCCCTCATATAACTAAGCCTAGAAATGGTAATGTCAACTGGGATTTTCTTCCCCATGTGCCTGTAAACCTGGCTATCAATGTAGTAACTAAGAGGAAAGGAGTCAGAAGCTAGCATGAAGGCAGTGGAAAGAGCCACTGGGCCTGCTTTGACAGGGATGAGCCCAAAAAAGCACTAACTCCCAATCTTCCTCGAGAGGAATCTGGTTTCAGAGCTGTTGGGTGAGTACAAAGCTCCAGACCCCATGAGACATTTCCTTCCTCCCCTGGAACTTACATCCATCCTTTCCCTGTTCCTGAAATGGACTACTATGTACCTAAGAGCTGAGATTCAGAGTTCTCAGCTAAGCAGTTCTCAGAAGCAGCAAGGCTCTTGTTCCTGCCTGCTGTGCTTGCTGACTAGCCTCAGTCATGGTGCTCACCACTAGCTCCTGTTCTGCTTTATGAGAGACACGGATGAAAGGCATAGCCAGGAGCTAGTAAGCAGGTTCCAAGCTTCTATGACTGAGAAAGACTACTCGTTCCCTCTTACGACTCCCCACAAAGAAAGAAAGGAATTTAGGATCAACTGCAGGTCAGAAACAGCAAGGCAACAGTAGAAGGTTCTATAGGAGGGGACTACCAGAAGATGTGTGTCTTCTTAGTCACTACTTCTACTCATTCCTGAGGTCACTTGGGGTCATCTCCCTGAGCTCCTCCTTGTGCTCCCTCAGTCTTCATCACATGGAAACAGTCACCTGCTTAGGTGTCTGTCGCCCTCTCTAGACTGTGAGCTCGAGCTCCTTAGGGAGGAATCGTTTCTGTAACCCCTATGGTTTCTGGCTTTACCAGAGGCTCTCAGAGGCTGCCCATCTGCTGTGAGGGAGGGCATGCACTCTGGCTCTGCTTGGAAAAGCAGTGGGTCTTGTGCTTGGATCTCAGGCTTCTTGCAATCAGTTTAATGGAGTTCAGGATGGATCAGAGTCCACAGAAACCTGTAAAAGTAGGCTTGGTTTGGCTGTAAGAGGCTTATAATTGTTTCTTCCTCAATAAGACTTAAAGCTTCTGCTGACTCCAGCCAGCTGCTCATGTCCCCAGCAAGGGGGTTTCCACTTCACAAAGAGCCAGGCCCCAGATGTAGGAAATAAAGAGGCCTTAACTTTGAAAATGTTCAGTTCGGGCTGGGAAGGTGGCTCAGTGGTAGAGCACTTGCCTTGCATGCTTGAGGCCCTGGGTT